TGTGTGTGTGTGTGTGTGTGTGTGTGTGTGTGTGTGTGTGTGTGTGTATGTATCAAATGTTGTTATTTGTTTAATAGGAGATGTAAATATGAGGGCCAGAGGCAGGGAACAGAATAAATTGGAGGGAGACACCTTCAACTTCATTCCCAGCAGGTGTTTTTTCAGTCCATACTTGAATTCTCCTCTGAAGCATTTGACAGCACTGTTCATTTCCTCTTTTTAATGTCTTGTCCTCTAATTTTCATGATACTGTCCTACTCCCATTCTCTTTGTTGTTATTTAGCCCTTTCTTTTCAGCTATTTTCAAGGGATCTTTGGTTTTGGCACCCTAAATTGTCCTCCTCAGCCCTTTCTCTCTCTACAATATTCAACCTCGGTAGTCTTGCTCAAAACTGCAACTTCAACTGGCATACCTACACTGCTGATGCCCAAACCAGCGTCTCTGAATGTCATACATACCCACACATCGAATTCCCTTTTAGACATGTCCTTTCGGGTGCCTCATAATTTCAGTCTGCCCAGGCACTATCTAATGGACATGGCCATTAGAAAGTTTCCAAAGCCAGAAACCTGGGGCTCAACCTGCACTCTTTTCTCTTTTCTCTGATACTCAGAATTATTAAGTTCTACATACAAACCCATTATGATTTTAAATGGAGTGTAAGGCTGTGTTTCCTAAGGTGTTGCCTCTGAGCCTCCTTTATGAGAATCACCTGGGATATTTGAAATAAATGCAGGTTCCTAAGCCTCAGACCATCCAAGTCAGAGCTAATGGGGACCAGGCCTCAGATGTCTTTCTTATCCATCATACTTTGCTATCTCTACCACTTTTACTCCAAACTAGGCACTCATTATCCTACCTAGATCACTAAGCTCTCCTGCTTTCTAGGATACTGGTCTCTGATTTTGCATTATTGTTTTTTTTTTGTTTTTTGGGACGGAGTTTCGCTCTTGTTACCCAGGCTGGAGTGCAATGGCGCGATCTCGGCTCACCACAACCTCCGCCTCCTGGGTTCAGGCAATTCTCCTGCCTCAGCCTCCTGAGTAGCTGGGATTACAGGCACGCGCCACCATGCCCAGCTAATTTTTTGTAGTTTTAGTGGAGACGGGGTTTCACCGTGTTGACCAGGATGGTCTCGATCTCTTGACCTCGTGATCCACCCGCCTCGGCCTCCCAAAGTGCTGGGATTACAGGCTTGAGCCACCGCGCCCGGCTGATTTTGCATTATTAACATACACATCTGATAACAGTGTCAGTGGCTCATTTCAGACTTAAAATCTAAACTCCTCGGTGGTATTTTTCACCAATTCCCGAGGGCGTTTTTTCATCATTGGCTGAATACTTATAGTTGCTTGGCTGTGCCATGCTCTTCTGAATCTCGATATCTTCTCACTTCTTCTGCCCATCTACCTGATTCACTTTTATTTATCTTTTAAATCTCAGCTGTTTCCTAGGGGAAGCCCCCTGGTCTCCAGCTGCTTAAACTTAAGTTCTGTTATGCCCCTGGTCCTGTGTCACTGTGCTCCCGATTATTGAGAGTCTGTTTGTCTCCACACTGTCCTGGAAGCTGCTGCAAAGCACGGTCCTGTCCTTTCACCTTTGTGTTCCCGATGCCTAACAGAGTGCCTGGAGTGCTGCAGGAGACTGGAGAGGCTTGCAGAGAATGGAACGAGGTCCCAAAAGGGATCAGATTTATAGGTAGAGGAATTAGCCTTAGTTAAGAATCTCCTTATCTTGATCTAACAAGCTCTGAAAAGATGCTTGATATTAAGAAATTTCAGTGTGGAAGGAAGGGAAACATAGAGAACTCATGGATAGCTAGGATAAAAAACAAGCTTACATATGGTAATTGAAGGCATTGAGGATATGTTTGGGAACTTGAAAGGAATGAAAAAGATTGAAAATAGCTATTATGATAAAGGACAGGGAGTAAACTAGGAATAAGTAAAAAGGTTGACAGATAGGGTGGAGTACCCTACTGCCGTGGGATCAGATACGGCAGAGAATCAATTAATTATTATCACTTAGGCAATGCCAGTTTAGCCTTGAGCATCCATGGTCCAGGGCCAAAAAGACTTGACCTATTGGATTGATGATTGAATTTTATACTTAAGTTACCCAGATTGACTGCTAAGATAATCCAAAAACAGTGACTACTGACTACTTTGTATGCCAACACATAGGGCAGTGCCTTTTTTGATTTCTTAGCTGAATAACTTATAATCTTCCCATTTCTGTATTTATTGTCTTCCTAAACTGCTTAATTGTCTTGATATGTTTACCATCGTGGGCCTTTGATAAGAATAAGAGTTGTGTGGGGGAAATCTTTTCTAAGCTGCAAGTAAAGGAGGTTTTCATTCTCTTAAATCAGACACTTCTGCTGTTACCTTTCATTGTGGACTCTCTGGCCTAGGAGAAAATGAGACATGGATAGTTATAAGAAAGTTTACTAATCATGCTTCTTTCCTGAAGAATGAAAATGTACCTTAATGAATTATTTATTTTTCTTTGTTACATGTTTTCTCACAACAAAATATCTACTTTGCATTTTTAATTTGAAGCAATATTTCTTGTAAGTATCAAACGCATCATGATTTTAAATGGAGTATAAGGCTGTGTTTCTTAAGGTATTGTCTCTGAGCCACCTTTATGAGAATCACCTGGGATATCTGAAATAATGCAGGTTCCTAAGCCCCAGACCACTCAAGTCAGAGCTAATGGGGACCAGGCCACAGATCTTCACAATTAATAGAGCTCCAAGTTCTTATCACACTGAAACCTAAGAACCAATGTTGTGGTGGTGAAGAGCTTCCAGATTTGAAGTCAAACTGACCTAGTTCAAATCCCATATCTCCTGTATTACTAGTGACCTGTTCAGAGAAGATGTCTAACCTCTCTAGACCTCTTTGCTCATTGCTAAGTGAATAAAAACAGTACCAACTCTTTAAGGTTGTCTTAAAGGATGATAATGCAGGCCAAGTGCCTAGTGCAAAGCCTGATTTACATGAAGGCTCAATAAAAGTCATTACTGTTTTTGATATATTATGGTTGGAATATATATAGATGATGAAAATATTTTTTAGTTTGGTCATATAATGAAACATTGTCAATTTGACACATCATTCTGCATAACAACTTTATATTCTGAGAATATAGCTGGCTGTGGCTGGCTCAGTAGTTTGCAGTCTTACAATGTTTGAAGTAGCATGAATGTCCATGTAAAGTAGTAGGCACCATACATTTTTTATCAACTAAGAAAGTTACAGGCTATGTATTTCTATTAGATAAACGGTAATTTATTTGAGGAACTTTCAAATGAGAACTATACTAATTAATTTCTTAGACTCACAGTGAAAGGTTCTGACAAAGTACTTTGTGTTTTAGTAAATTACACTGTCAGACAAAAATATGTCTCTCCCACAGAAGTGTCCTCTCTCCTTTCTCAGAAACAGTAGGCGAATTGTGACCATATGTTCCATGCATTCTCCCAGCTATAACTCTGCTGTCACTAATGGTATTTATGTGCCCAGGAGCAATAAACCTGTTTTAGGTAAATGTATTTACTCGGTAAAGAACATGAGTTTCTGAAGACCACAATAATAAACTGTCGGCAGTGCACTAAACAGTGCTTATCCACTCTCTCTCATCTCTTCATTAAGTAGAGGCTTCCTCCTGTATGCCTAAATGCTCAGGACAATAAACTGTATTTGAAAGGACTTCTAGTGTAAAAATAAAGATAAACCAACATGACTTCAAGATTACAAACATAATAGAAGGTATTAGCCATCACATAGGCAGTTTAAAAGCAAATCTTTCATACAGACTACTCATGTAAATGACACTGCAATACATTT